CCCAACCAAAAAGAAATTACGCCGGCAGTATAGATCGTCTAAGGTGTTTAGAAAAACAGGCGCATGAGAAGAAGATTCCAGAAATAGCGTATTCTTGCAACCTCTCGCGAACATCTAAGCTATCATTATGATGTCTGACAGTCAACAACATGTCTAGATCTATGACATTCTACCACCAGTCTCTTGTTTTGTGCATATATATACAAACGTGGCACTACGCAATAAAATCAGTTGCTCGTCAAAGTTTGGGAAAATGGCGTTGTTGGTATCATCTTAAAACTTGTTAATTTTTTTTTATCTCGTTTTGCAAATTTGATAAACTATCCATCTGTCTGGAAAAGAGGTCGAGGTATTTGAAATTGAAGAAAGTGGGGGTTGTCTGGTGTCAGGGGTAAATTTAGCAAGAAAATGGCCGCCAAAGTTTGATGACTTCTAAAGCTTGAGTGTCCTTGAAAGCTGCAAATTTACTTTTGTGTGTGTGTACCCTTTAACAACGTTTGTCAGTTAATCCACTACGAAATGTGTGCTTAGGTGGACGTTAAAGGTGTTGAGCCAAAGAAAAAAACCCCCACCAATTCGATTTTTAAAAATGGCTAGCGAGTGGATATATTACAGTTTTTTGTTTTTGTTGTTGTTGTTGTTTGTTTGTTTGTTTGTTTGTTTGTTTGTTGTTTTTTTGTTGCTTTTTTGTTGTTGTTGTTGTTGTTGTTTTGTTTTTTTTGTTTTTTGGGGGGGGTTCATTTCTTTGACGAGCGCTTGATTTCTCCACGACGACCCACAGTTTTGTTTACGCAAAGTAAATCGAAGAATACTTGTCAGATCTGAAGTAGCGAGTTTCCAAATATGTCAGAGATCAAGTGTGACCTTTTCTCCTTGATTGATTGCGTCTGTTCGATTATGTGGGGAGACATTTTGATGGGAGAGATGTATGTTAGATGGGACAACTTGATAGGACAACTTGATGGGGCAACTTGATGGGACAACTTGATGGGACAACTTGATGGGACAGATGAGACAACTTGATGGTACAACTTGATAGGGCAGATGGGACAATTTGATGAGGCAACTTGATGGGACAGATGGGACAACTTGATGGGGCAACTTGATGGGACAACTTGACGGGACAACTTGATGGGGCAACTTAATGGGACAGATGGAACAGATGGGACAACTTGATGGGACAACTTGATGGAACAACTTGAGGGGACAACTTGATGGGATAACTTGAGGGGACAGATGGGACAACTTGATGGGACGGACAACTTGATGGGAATAATGTGACAGATGGGACAACTTGATGGG